ACGGTTTCGTTAGATCTAATCGCCTTCTTCGTTGGTCTTTCATCCGTAGCGCGGTATTTAGAGCATCTATTTCAACGCGTCGGTTTATCGAATGGTCTGTGGAATTCGATGCTTCTAAGAACTCTCCATCTTGCCTCGAATTTCCATGGGCTAGGACCTTATCGTTCTCTAGGTCGAAGTGGTAGCCTTGTTGGTCTTCTTGCATGGAAACCAGTGCATGCGGGTCGTGTCTCCGTATGGCCATTATGTGTTCGTCGATCCGTGCTGAAAGTTTCCTTCTAGTTTTCCCGGTTTGGTGTTTGCCACATCCTTTGCAGTAAATTTGGTAGATGACATCATTCTGAATGCCTTGTTTGACTTTTCCTTCGGTCTTGAAAGCGATCCTTGCAAAGTACCAATTGGTTTGTGGGCTACCAAGATTCTATGTGGTCGCAGCAATCTTGACGTTAGTTCAGACATATTCTTGACGTAAGGAAGCGCTACCCGTTTATCTATTTTTTCCTGCTGTTTTTGATGCACCCTCTTCTTTAGGCTTTTTCTAATGAAGTTACTTGGATGCCGGTTGATTTGCAATACCCGACATAGCTGGTTCTCTTCCTTCTTCCTCAATCCTGTCCTTCTGCATTGTGTTTCGGCGCTGTTGAATAGGCTTTGGATGCAGCTTTACTTGTGGTTCAGTGGATGGTTTCTGTGGTAGTTTAATATTTGCTCTGTGTGGGTTTTCTTTCGATATACACACGTCTAAAGTGTTCCGTCAGTGTTCCTTTGGAGCAGTACCTTTAAGAATGGTAACAGCTTAACTTTTGCGAGTTAAATTGTGAACTTGATATCTTAGAATGTGTTGTTTATTAACTCATGAGTATGTTGTATGTAATCTCATTTGATGATCACAAACGCGTCCTCCACCTACGGGATCCATAACGTTGGTTTGATTAACGCTATTTTGATACCCTCCAGTTTTTGCATCTCAGCTTCTGCAATACGTCCTGAGATGGGAGATCCCATGGGCGTTTTCTTCAATTGTTACTATACTTGCCCATCAAATTAATACGAAGTAGCCATGCAGAATTCTAAGAGTTCCCATATGCTCTCTGTCCTGAGGTTTCCAATTGTGGTTGTTGATTTCGAAGTAATTCCATCACGGTTTCTTTTGCTATTTCGTGACTGATCAACGTAAAAATTGCTTTGAGTTCAAACGACAGTAGGTGTTAATCATCCTCCATTATAAAACAGTTCAGTTTATTGATGTATAGTAAAGCATTGATGATGCTTTGTTAAGATCCAGCAAATAGATGTCTTAATTACTTCCACATGCATTTCGCCAACTTTACTATAGGGATCTTGGCAACAAGACAATTATACGCAATGGGACTCCATCTTTGTGTACCTTTGGCAGTCCACAGAAACTTGCAATGTTTGCATCCTCAGCTTTCATCTTCCATCGCTCCTGCTTGGTAATCTCTCTAGTTGCTTGTAGGTTCCTCAATGCTGTGTTGATTTGAGTACTCAGTTTTCTACTAGGGTCCTGATCTATTGGGCGATAGGTGGTCGTGTCAGAAAGAAGTTGTTGGGCTTTTGCAATCTAATCTGTTTAATCCATTATTACTGCCATGCTTCCCATGTTTGCTGGTATAAGTGTAATATTGTCTTTCATTTGTAACCTCCTGATTTCTTTCCGTTCTCCTTTTGCACCTGTATGTGTGAAGTTGTTGCGAGTTATTACATGGACAATTGTTGGTCTAATTTGCTGCCGCGATTCTTCTGACAGCCCGTTTGTGGTCAAAACCTGTTCCAGATTAGCCAAGTAATCCTTATATGATGCAACTTTTGTATTAAAGTTTTGTCCGTTGATTAGCCTGTTCGCCTCTGTTGTGCTGAGTTGACGGCTAGACAATGTTTTGAACCATCCTTGATTTTTGTATTGGTCAGATTTTCTCGTAAACTTAATCAACTTGATATTCACTGCTAAGGTATGCTGGCTTCAGATGTTGTGTACTCTACATTGAATCGCAGATTCAAGCTTTGAAAGTTTCCTGGGGCCCATCTCAATAATGCAGTCAGTTTTATTGTTATTTATGACTATTTATACTTCCGAAGGCGATTAGGGGACTTAGCCATCATTATTTTGACCATAAGCGTCGCATGCTGTCTTATTAATAAGCCTCTAGATGATCTAACGCCGGTCTGTGATTCAATTTTGCTGGCAGAACATTCTGCCGCGGACATCCGTGGAGAAAGTATAGCTTCTCGCGTGTGAAAGCTTGTCAACAGCGAAAGTTCTTCCAACGGCGAGCATGCTGAAGCGTTGTACACCCAAATAGCTGCTCTATAGAAGCAAAGGCTGGTAGCTCAGATTGTTTAGTTCGTGGTCTGAGTGTTCGCTGAGCTCGGCAGTTTGACTGCAAATCTTTCGTCACCACTCGAAGTGGGAGCATCAGGCGAGAATCAGAGATCGATTTCGATGGTTATGTGCTCGTCGAACAATTCAAACTCAGAGTAGCGGCTGACAGGTCGCTGTCACCTCGAGTGGTGACGAAAGGTTTGCAGTCAAACTGCCGAGCTCAGCGAACTCTCAGACCACCAACTGAAAAATTTAGGCTACCAACATTTGCTTCTATGCCAAGCTACATTGTGTCACACTGGTTATTAAAGCTTACAACTTGGTCGAGGTTCAAACCGATTTATTAAATCTAACCTAAATTGCAATACCATAAGAAAAGGCAAACAGTAATTTGACTTATTAACCACACATTATTGTACATTGTGACAGTAACGTTACCTTAAAAACAAGCGACTGATGCATGTTGACGGAATAGCTGAATGAGGAATTTGCTTGTTCAAGCTTATGTATTATATTGTTACATAGTAGATGGGAGGTTTGTGCCCAGCATCCTGGTCTGCAAGTTAGAAAATTCCATAAGCAAAGATGTACTGCTTTACAAAATGTGTGCCTTTAAATATTCAGTCTACTAACTACTTATAACTAAAACATTATCATGTTATTGTCTTAATAGTACTCCTTGCAAGATGATTATTACCTACTGGCTTGCCGCTGAAGATCAAATGCAACACCTGTGAATCTACTCGCGACGCCATTCTGGCTTTCGTGTTACAATGGCCATCGATTCAAACTTTACCAATTATATGGGTAGAAGCAATATGGTTGCACTCTTCTAGCGACTATCCGGAATATCAATAGTGAAATAGGAATAGGAGATTTAAAGTAAGATTGTGCGAAGTAAAGAAGATCAGCTGTAAGTATGCTAAACATGGATATCACATTGAATTATTCATCTATCTTTATCATTCCCTTAAAAAGAAGTTCGTCTCAGCCAGTATATTTCGATTGCTCTGCCATTAAAAAGTTGTTATTTATAATTATCATTTATGATTAGATCAACAAATGCAATGCCCGTATTGGATTAAAATATTCACGATTAATTTAGTTATATTGTTATAGTCAACCTCATTTTTTCAATTATGGAAGCAATTGGAATGTATGTATATATACATATATATATATATATATTTGGTGCAAGCGTTTGTAGCCAGCGTGTTGCAAAGGGCCCCAACAGATCATTAACCTCTTCCACCACAATACTGCGTTTTTAGGAAAATTCCAAAAATGGGGTCTAGCAAATTTGAGTATACAATAGTTATTTCGTAGAAAATTTTAAATTTTACATCAAATAAAATAAAACTCTACGGATTTCATCAACAATTGTATCATCCACAGACTTATTTTGACATTGGATAAGTCAACAGAGGAAATGTAGTATTTAAATGAATCACATAAGCTGCACCCGATTTCGGTAGAATTATTTTGGGTAAAGCAAAGGAATATTGCCTGCTCTAAATATCAAACCAATATGGCTATGAACCACAAGACAATATCACGTGGTCTTTTGTCAAATTTCGATGTGTCCAATTATTCCAAATGAAACTTAAGGAGCGCTTTCATAAAAAGCGTCCTGTACCTAAATTTTACAATCTCAGCCTGATATTGCTAAAAACTGTACGCATTTTATTTTGTAAATCTGTTGCTTTATATACCGCTGGGAAACGTCTCTCCTGCTGTATATCTTAGGATCCGTCAGAATAACTCCACTACAATGATGGCAATTTAAATCCAACTCTTGACACAAAATTTAACCGAGCAATTCTCATTTGATTGGATTGTTGCCAATCGCAGTTTACACCGTTCATTAAGTTCTTAAATACTACACTGTTTATTACTACAATTTTGCTGTATATCCAATTTGACACAAGCAGGTAGAAAACAAGTCTGTTTTGTGAAATGCCTGAGTTGACATCTGTGACACGCTGTGCATAGTCATTAATCAAAATTAATGGATGAGACCCATCATTTGTGTAATCTCGTAGTTTTACGTTAGCTTTCACCTCAATCAAGTAAATAGACATAATCAGTGCTCAGAGTGTAGAAAGCAATAACCTTCTTTGCTTCTTTTACTAGAAGGGAACATTCATCTAATGAAATGGAGTAGTACTTTTACACTGAATGTGGAAAAAGTTACATATACACTAGGTTACATGAATATAGCAACTAACATGGATTCAGTACAGTAAATTGCATGTTCCAGTATAAAAAAGTTTACTTATAGACACTCAGTGAATTTTTATATAATTCAGAAATAAGTCAGAGGTAATTTCTCATTGTCACTTTTCAATCATGCATATCTGCAGCCGTCACATTTGGCTAAATGACACAGGTTGCTGGCATCCGGAATAAATGGGGTGACAGCCCGGCAGGGGTCCAAGGATTGCTCACTAATGCCGAGACACAGAATGTCGAAACAGTGCTGTCGTGCTTCTCCAGACTTCAGTGCCAGTGCCTGGTGACGGAGAGTGGACTATGAGTACTTACCTCTGAATTCATTGAATAGTTTATTTGGAGTCAACCGTCACCTCTTTTTAAATAGCCCTAACGTTTGCGTTAATCAAACATGACAAATATGGACAACCGCAAGCCTAAATCTTACCTTCAATTCTTTAATCTCCAGTGTAATTGTGCCTCCAAAGTTATTTGTGATCTTCCAGATACATAAGGTGTTTGCTTCATCGCGTCCTCTCCAAGAAATGATATTGGATGAGCTTTCATTCAACTCCTTTCCGCAATTGTCTAAAAAAGAATTACTATGATTTTTGACTGGGACTGCCACCCTACTATTACAAAGTGATATAACACCCAGCTATTATTTTTAGTGCATCCGTAAAATAATGGTGCCTGGGGTAAAATCGCCAAGCTAATATGTCCTGTCACATGTTCTAATTTCTCTAGGTTTAAAATACACATATTTTACGGTATATTAATACGCATCGAGCACAGCTCTCGCAATCCCTGTTCATATATTTACCGACTACCATCGTTCAATTCTAATAATATACTTGATCGCATCTTCATATACTTGAGATAGTAAGTGAAAGCTATCAGATATATTGCTCTTTTATATGTAGAGAAGAAAAGTGCAAATCTAAAAGGTTTGTTTTACTAGCTCTATAAATTACCTCTAATGAATCGTTTATAATTTGCCCTTCATGAAAGGAAGATTATAGATCACAACCAAATAAATCGTTATATATTCAAGGTGAACATGACAGAGATAGTTTAAGTTACTCTTGTTATCAAAGCTCATGCATTGATAATTCTGTATTCTTCCTGAGAAGCAAAAGCGGATTGTAAACAGAAATGCATATATTTCAATACCAATAGTTTATTTGACCTGGTGCCATGCTTGGAACGTTATGTTTAGCTTACGGCATTAGCACGACGACCAACCAAATAGGCTCGTTTCAAAATTTGACAGAACCTAGTTTCATTACGTCGTTATTTTTATTACAAACCGACAATATGTGTATATAGACGACACAAATACTACCAGGATTAGGCAAAGGAACACGAAACAAATAAGTATTAAAAAGAAGAGCATTCTCACGTCTTACTCCAGAACTCTTCCGACTCCTGTTTACCTCACATGTGCCCCGATTCTCGAGTACGGCTGGTCAGCTGCCCAGACTCTCACGAAGACCGAATGTGATATGAATGAGAAGGTCCAACGCCGTGGATCTAAAGGTATGCTAGTGCTGTGATGTCTATCTTATCCTCTCCGTCTCCAGCGATTAACTCTTTTCTCTCTGGATTACCGTCGTCGTTGCGGCGACTTGATCTACACTCGACGTAACCTAAGAGGAGAACTAGGAAGCAAGTTACAGCAGTTCTTTCATCTGAACATTGAAAGTTCCACACGTGGTCATGGATGGAAATTGTTCAAATCGAGGTGAATCCATGTGCGGTCAAATCTAGCTGCATGCACGCGCGTGGTTAATGACTGGAATCATCTTCCGGAGTTCTTCGTTGATGCGCAGTCCGAGGAAAGTTTCAAGAAAATGTTGGATTCCCACTTGATAACTGTGCCCGGATATTGCTTCACAACCTAGCTTTAAAGTTCATTGTGGAACCCTATTTTCACTATGACCCCAGCAATGTTCGCAATGACTGAGAAGCGACGGAGCTGAAAAATGACTCTCCCTTTGGTCTCTACCATACAATGATACAATAAATGGAATAGCCAATACAAAAATGCGCACGTTGGCGTCAATTCTAATTTGTCGTGCGCAATCTGCGGGATAAAATTATTTTTACAAGAAATTCATAAAAACTAGTTGCAAATTCAGGTATAAGTAATCACTCTTTGCACTGTTTACAACAACGACAAACTTTTTTCAGCGCTTTAGGCTGTTAATGATAAATTAACTGATTTATTAACAAAAATACATATAATAATGTGGTTAATAACATGTTATTTTCATCCTAGCAACGGAACATGCATACATTGCTAGCAAAATTACAGCGTGGGGTTCACAAGTTTTATTTCCTTTGGTTGTTTTGTGTAACTCAAAAGTATTTTGACAGTCTACTTTCTTTAAATCGAAAACTATTTGATAAATGCACACATATACATAAGTCGCGGTACTTGGAAAACCGTTTTTCGAGGTTTTAGTCTAGAGCACTTCACAGCTCAGCAGATTGTAACCTAAATACCTCTTAGCCTTAGTATGATACATTGTCATTCCTTTCCAGCTCTATTCAGACAAAGTAAATAAACGGTTGATTTTTTGAGGCTTAATACAAGCTAATACAATTTCTTACGATGGCTTTGATTCCAACCGGCGCTATTTTCTGAAAAACGATCATATTATACTCTCTCAGTAGCACGCATGAGTAAAACGGTCATTCGTGATAGGCATAACTCACTTAGTATGTGCCGATAATTAGGTTCGACTGAAATAAAAAGAAGCAGATTGCGACGCAATTATGTCATTTAGCAAAATTATACAAAATAAAGGCAGTAAGGTGTGGTGAGTTCGGTGAAACATCTATTGTATTATCCTCGTTCAAACAAAATCTACACTCCTTCTGTAGTGCGAATGATCCAACACTTTTCAGCCTTCCCTATTTTTTCCTTTCAGATCAGCAGCCTGGCAATCAATCAATAAATTTGGACTGTTTAGCAGATGAAAATGACTTATAGAACAATAGTACTTATTATTGTTGTAGTTATATTTCGGTTTGTGTACAGTTAACCCCTTTTTTGAATAACCTGAATTTTGAACTTTTGCCAATTACACGCTGCCGTGTACACGTTATGTTTTGCCCTGACATTATTCGTGTGCTGTGACCACTGTAACGCGTGTGTACTCGTTATCAGTTCTTCCCTGCCTTTTTTCAGCTATTGACGATCTTTCGTGTCCCATGGATTATTGCACACTACATAACTGGTGTCAGAGTTGGGATCTCGTCATGGCATCCCGCGCAAATAAACCGAAGAACGAAGTACAGGGTTTTGCTACTGCACCTCCATCAACTTGTGGACAGCCACCTTTGGAACTGGGCCTTTGGCAATTGTACCTCCGTCCCCTACCTGTCTTTGATATTTCACACTAACTTATGCAACTGCCAGCGTCGCTTAGAAATGTCTCTTGCTTACATCCCCGAAGAACACATATCCTCGGTTATAATGAATTCTTTCAGTGACAGAGTTCAGGAAAACTTGTTGTCGACTGGTATTCGCCCGGATGCATCTGTCAGAGAAATCTGGAATCAATTAGAAGCACTTTTTCCAGACAAAGAATACGGGTCAGCTACTCGGTCCATATTTTGGAACAGGTTTCGTCGAGAGACAAAGTCGGCCGACGCTTTTTTGTGGGACGTTCTGGTGCTATCGGCAAAGGCTTTTCTAGGGAAATCAGGAACAGAAAAAGAGGCCTACATTTTAGAGCGGTTTATTAAAGGCATTAACGACGATCGCACTTCGGAGCGTTTTATACCAGAACCGCCGAGAGACTTAGCTACCGCGGCCTGGTTTGCACACGAAGAAGAGGTGATCCGCGATAGGCGTCGGAAGGAGGTTGACACGCTGATGGCTATTAGTCGTGTTCCGCCGACGATGAACCGGACTGAACTGCCTCACAGCCTGAGCTCGCATACTTGCCATCGTCATTGTCCTAAGTGCCTGAATCCACCCTATGAGAAGTCAGTACGGCGCCCCCGCAATTTCCGAAGGCGCGAACAAGCACCCGGAGTGCGATTCATGGACGGTGATTCAGAACTTCCTTGTGTACATTAGATGTCTTCTAAGTTCAGTGAATCACCAACTGTGGCTGCAGTAACCAATAATCAGCGATTGCATGTGTTCATTGACACCGGTGCAGCGTGTAGCCTTTTAAAATCCTCTTTCTTGTTCTCCTCAATAGTCATTATTCTCGGGCGTCAGATCAGAGTGGCCAATGGGATGGTTCCGCTTACTCATGGTGTTGCTTCCATAGATTTGCTGGTCGGTCAAGAGATTCTTTCCCATGAGTTTTCCATAGCTGATCAAATTTCATGGGACGCGATACTGGGGGTTGACTTCTTAAGTTGGTGTGCATGCGTCATCAATCTAACCTCCGGAGTATTGACATTACGTGGCAACCTGTTCCCTCTAAACTTCAAATCTAATAATGGCTACCTGAAAAAGCTTTTTACGTTGGGTGGTAGCACCGTGGATGTTGAATGTGAGATATCGGAATTGCTTTCGTCTGTTAGCCCCACTGTCGAAGGTGAAGCTCGGAAGCGCCTGTAGAATTTATTCGTTCACACAAACATGCGTTCGAATGGAAATATACATATTTGGGTAGAACGAGAGTATTTAAGCATCCGATGGAAACAGCGGATGCTACACCAATACGGCAAGAGCCCATGCATGTCCCACCTGTGTATAGACAGGAATTACAGAAAGTGGTGGATCAGATGTTAAAAGATAATATCATACGCCCTTCGCGATCCCCCTGGGCTGCCCCTATTGTATTAAACAAAAAGAAAAATGGAGCACTGCGCTTCTATGTGGACTATAGGAAACTTAATGATATTACACCAACAGATTTTTTCCCGCTACCTAGGACTGATGACACTCTGGAATAATTGCATGGCGCCGCCTTTTTCTCTACTTTGGATCTCGCCTCAGGTTATTGGCAAGTCGAAGTACACCCTATGGACATTGAAAAAACTGCCTTCGTTATACCCACAGCGCTATATGAGTTTCAGACCATGCCGTTTGGGTTGCCTAATGCACCATCGAACTTGCAGTTATTGACAAACATTGTACTCAGAGATCTGCAGCCAAGCAAATGTCTTGTATAACTAGATGATAACGTAGTTCATGGAAGTACTCACGTTGAACATCTCACGAATCTAGAAACAGTGCTGCAGTGCCTTAGTTTCGCAGGATTGAAGTTGAAGCCGTTCAAGTGCGACCTGCCGAAGAGAGATTTTAAATAGCTAGGTCACTTTGTGGTGGATCAAAGTAGATCCTACTGCGCCGGGTATAAGTAGCTTGGTGGTGCAAGATGACACACCAACAGCGAGCCTTGCCGACGTCCCCAAAGTTGAAGATGACATCAGGATTACAGTTCCATGCGCACGAGGAGTGAACACAGAGGCAAGCTCCAGTTAGGAAACAATCAATGGAGATCACGCAGATGAGCGGACGCCTCCAATTTATGGACGAACACACCTAGTGTAAGCCACTTTAGCAATAAACAAGTACCGCCGATCCCTTGGGTTCTAACAGTTGGTGCCGTGACCTCGCAAGTCATAATGTTTCCCTGGTTGGAGCCATTTGAAAACGGGGATGTGAAGGCGTTTTTGGAGGATTTTGAGGAGGTGGCAGAGGCGGTAGGACTAAAGACCGACCGGGCGAAAATGGCGGCCCTGCGGAGTCTCCTCAAGGGTAGGGCACCGGCGGTTCCGGAGGCGTCGCGAAAACGTCCGGCCAAGTTGGAGTGGTACACCGCGAAGGAAGCGTTTGCTTTCTGGCCTGGACACGCTAGCGGACCGCCAGAAGGCGCTGTGATGGTTCAAGGCGTCGCGGCTTTGTGCTGGGACGGATCTCCTCGTGTTTGCGGTGCATTACAGGAGCTGCAACGCAATGAGGCTGGACCTAACCGTGGTGCGATGGTTTTTGTGCCTCAGTGATCCATTGAGCTATACTGGGTGGTGCTTTTGCACCTTCAGAGCCATTCATAGCAGATTGGTCAATGGTTAGAGGCCAGACAAACTCAGCCTCCTGGTCCTCCAGGTTAGGGTTGGATTGAGGGTGGCTCCTTATTCCTTAAATCGGACTCCTTGTAGTCCAGTGCCAAAACAGCTGCCTTGCGGCCAGGTTTTTGAATCAAAGGCTTTGGTTGAGAACCCTAATCGTTCTCCTGTCTAGGCCTGGGCAACCTGACAGTAACTTGCCCACGCAATACAGTGAATCATTCCCCAAACAAATTTCTGGTGCTCTGGCCACCACAGAGGATAATCAACGGTGCCCTATCTGCTGCATCGAGCAGGGTAGATAGGGGTTTGGATGCTACTGCTCAAGCCTTCCCATCTTCTTATTCCCCTTCATGCGCTTTTGCACCCTTATCGTCCCGTTCTAGTTTCACATTTATCCCCCCTGTTTTCAACCCCCAATTCTTGGCCCTCCACCACCTTGCTTCAGCAGTCTCTTGTCTTTTATTTTCAACTCACAAGTGAACGCATAGCTTCATTCCTGCACTGTCAACAGGCCCATGTCCAAGCAAGCGGCCCATTCCAGTTCATCGGCTTCCATTTGGAGCCCTCGATCCTCCTTCATACTTGCATGCTTCAATTTTCGCACATTGCTTCATATCGGTTGACAGGCAGCACTTGCCCGCACATTAAAGGCCCTCACTATCGATATCTGCTGCTTATCAGAGACCCGCCTGCAAGACTCGAGCTCTGTACTCACTTTGCGATCCCATTCAGGTGACACTAGCATCACTTTCTCATTGCGCCTATCCGGTGACGATGCAGCTTCGAGCACCGGCTAACTCTGTGTTTATAGTGCCCTGCGTCCCCGGGCTGAAGCTGCTCTGGTTGACTGGATTCAAATCAGTAACCGGATGTGTGCGGTACCATTGGCTGGCTCGTTCAAAACTTCGAAGTCGCGTGCGACTAACCGGTTTCTATTCATTATCGCTGAATATGCACCGACAAACTGTAGCGATGACTCGGTAAAAGACGACTTCTACCGCCAAATAACCCAACTCCTTCGCCACAGAAGAAGCTCGGACACTGTAGTGCTGGCTGAGGATCTAAACGCTTACGTTGAAAATTATCCACAGTTGAGCTGCATCTGGGCGGCCAACATGGTATGGGCTCCCGTAATGATAACGGTGTGCGGTTACTTCATTTGTGTGAGGATGCTCGCTTATTCCTTGCGAGCACTAATTTCGACACAGCACCCGCCGGCGGGTGACTTGGCGTCCACCAGCCTCGGACCAGCTATGGACGCAAATCGATCACATTGCTATTAGTTACCGCTGAAGAGTCTGCGTCCAGAACTGTCGCTCGATTTGGAGCACAGGTGTTGACACCGATCATGCACTTGTATGTGCTGACCTGCGGATGCGCTTTGGCGAACGCTCGCGACGATGTTGTGAGCGCATTAACACCGGCAGGCTGGTGAATCCAGCTGTGCTGAACGCCTATCAAGTTACGCTCTCATGGGAGTTGGTTTAACGCTCAATGGATGCAATTGAAGCTCACTGGTCTCATATGCAACTGGCCTTACTAGCAGCAGGCAAATCTTCATGTGATATGTCTAATCGCCAACATGAACATTGGGTCTCTTCACAGTCTCTGGAACTTATAGATGCCCGCCGGCATATTCCGGATGGAAGCAAACACAATGAAACTCGCTAAGAGCTCCAGGCGAAACTCCGTGCTGGCCTGAA